TGGCATAGGGATAACATGGGTAATGCTAATCCTATGGATATTGCTAAGTCTATGGGGAGTGCTAATCCTATGGGTAATGTTAAGTCTATGGAGTTGATTCTGATCTTATGGACAATGATAAATCTATGGCATAGGAATAACATGGGCAATGTTAAGTCTATGGAGATATTCTAAATGAATTTGCCATAATAAATAGAACTAATTGTTGTCAAAAACATTTAAAATTCTCAAAGTAATAATAGTGAGATTGTTCTAACAATAGTATTGAAAAATGTAAAATCTTTGATACATTTCCCGAATAGTGGTTAACGTATAGCATCGCTGTGTGATCCTTGTTTCAAATTACAAATATTACCGATGATCCATCGCTATGTATGCGGTGTCCCGTCAACCCAAATGCCAATCAGAACTGTCCCGTCGATGCATAAAATTTTTTGCGATAAACATTTGGTTTATTAGTTGAATTTTATGTAAAATTTAACGCCGAATCCGAATTTAAAACTTAAAATATTCTATCTCAAATATTTCTCGAGTTATTCAAATTTTAATATTTTAAAGTCGAATAGTTCGAAATCTCTCATGCCTACTCAGAAACGGATTTCATATTCGTAATCAGCGTTAAATTCTAAATAAAGGTGATAACTTTTATTACAGTCCCGTATTGTCCCGTCGTGTCCCGTCCCGTCGTCTCCCGTCGGCAATTTTTAATTAAAATAAATAAATAATATTATATATCAATTCAATGTAAATCTTAACGCTGATTACGAATATGAAATCCATTTGTTAATAAGCATGATATATTTCGAGCTATTCGACTTTAAAATATTAAAATTTGAATAACTCAAAGAATATTCGGGATAGAATATTTTAAGTTTTAAATTTGGATTCGGCGTTAGATTCTACATAAAATTCAACTAATAACCAAATGTTTATCGGAAAAAATTTTAAGCATCGACGGGACAGTTCTGATCGGCATTTGGGTCGACGGGACACCGCATACATAGCGATGGATTATCGGCAATATTTTTAACTTGATTAAATTTTTTATGCCGTCCCGTCGTTGACGGGACGGAACGAACCGACGGGACAAACCGACGGGACGAACCGACGGGATAGACTGACGGGACGGAACGACGGGACGGAACGACGGGACGGAACGACGGGACGGAACGACGGGACAATCTGTCCCGTCGCGACGGGACGACGGGACGTCCCGTCGCGACGGGAATAAAAGTCAAGCCCCACATTATGTGCTAATTTCTGGATATATGGCAAACATACTGTACATGTCTAGAATTTTATTATTGTTTCATGTCCGTGTCAATTAAATTAATTCATTGGATTTAACTAAATCTTCTTTATGTTTAAGTATGTATTGATAATAAATTTAATAAAAGTATTTTATATTCATCAATAATTGATTATTATTGGTCATTGTTTGACCACATTATTGTTTTATTTTCCCAATTTTAAGAAATATAAATTATTTTCCTGGAATATATTTTTCAAAATTAAAAACTGGATAACCTTAACAATAAGTACTAAATGTATAAAATTCAAAACATATTATCTTTTATTAAAAAGTCAAAAATATTTAGTAAAATATAGCGATAATTGTATGTGAGATACGAGATTCATTGGTCGCCTTTGCGGCACTTGTCGATCATATCTCTGAGCATTTGATTACAGAGGGCTGCGTATGGATTCATTTGGACGACCAGTGCTTTCGCAAACTCATTGCCCATTTTGGCCGATATTTCCATGTCTTCAATACCTGTGCGGACACAACAACTGCNATGGATTCATTTGGACGACCAGTGCTTTCGCAAACTCATTGCCCATTTTGGCCGATATTTCCATGTCTTCAATACCTGTGCGGACACAACAACTGCTTTACAAATTGAATAGTAATTGAAATATAATGTTTTGTGTCGACAAAACCTTCAGTTTGTTTGTTGTTAAGCAACTGAATGAGTCCGCGTTGACAGTAGGCCTGTCGAGCGACCAGTCCTTTACCATCACTCAAATTGATGGCATTATTGAGGTCCTGAAATGCAACTTCACATCACACAACATTACATTAAGTTTAGCATGATTACTTAATAATAAATGCATTAGATTCGGTACAATGTAGTTAACAAATTGCATTATTGGACTTACGTTCGGTATTTCCCATCACTCGATGGACTTGAGCTCTATTGTTGTAACTGTTATTAATTAAATAAATTATAGTTTTATCATTATATTTAACAACACATATTTTATTATCTATTATTAGATAATAATATGAACTAATAATGTGTTGTATAATTTCAACGCTTATCATAACAATTTTTAGAAAATAATAGACCGTTTATTAATTAACGGTTCACTTACTTTTCCAATTACCCGGGAACAATATTACCCGACATGGCAATACATTGTCATTTCTACAGTTCCCGAGTAATTGGGAAAGTAATTAAACCGTTAATTAATGAACGGCCTATTATAACCATGATAAACATTAATATCAAAACTGCATTATAAAGTAAGCTAGTTTAGCATACCACGATGCTCTTCTGGGAGCTGTATTGATAGCCTGGGTTATCAAATCTAATGACTGATCATATTGTGAACAATTGGCAGCATTTATGGCTTTAATTTCCAACTCTTTGGCCAATTCCTCTTCGGGTCCACTAATAATCTCAGTTTCTGAACAGAGTATTCATTAATTCAATACAATTTATGTATAAATCATAAAACATACCATTATTTAAAGCCACTTCAGATTCAGTTGTTGGCAAAAATGGGTTAAAAATGCTATTTAGCACTAAATTGTCATTTTTTGAGCACATGTTTGTTATTTGAATGTTTGAATTATTATTTGCTAAATACAAGTGAACGCGTAATTTAGTTAAATATTTAACATTTTTATTTTTAAACTTTCCTGATTGGTATTTATGATGAGCTCAAGAAAAGCCTTGAATTTTATTTTCTCTCACTTTAAATCCAGTTTTGATAGAAAGTGAGATAACAGTAAATTAGCATTTATTGAGTTGGTTTTTGTCGCAAATTCAATGTCTATACAATTAATAACAGAAAATTAGTATACAAACAGACAAATTATTAATATTAATCAACAGTAACATTAGACAATATTAAAAATACAAAAAATATTTTTAAAATAAAAATAACAATCATTTAACAATTCTTATAAAATTAAATGTTAATTTCTTAACAACTATTTATAAAAACTTTAGCCATAATGGTATTGAAGCCGATCCTAATATTGCCAATACTTACAATTCATGCGATTTTAAAATAGTATTAAAATTACAACAAAAATAATTAAATTAATTTTAAAATATATAAATATAAACAATCAATTAGTAATATGTTTACTGCAATTAATATAATTTATTCATTTGCTTGTTCCCACTTAAACTACTATATTAATTTGTACTTACCCTAAATAATAAATAATTTTTAAAAATTAAAGATATAATATCTATAATTTTATTATTTAAAAATAGTTTTTGTAATAATATTTTATTCATATAACATTTAAACCATTTTATAACTCAATTGTAATAATAAATTTTGTTAACAATAATTGTCTGATATCTTTGCGATTTTAAACATTTTTGATTATATAATTATTAAATAAATGTTATACTGATAAATTATAGCATGGTGTAATAGATTGAATTTCGATCACAAATAAATTTAGTTATTTGCATTTCCAATAACAAACTCTTCCGATACAAACGTACCAACAAAAGCGTTTGATATCATTGGCACCGGTTATCGCATTGACGGCACTGTCGTAACAATAACTGCCATTGAGTTTAGCGTAAAACTGTTGCTCTTGTATTGACTCCACCGACACTTCGGCCCAAACACTGGTCGCCAACAAACCAGACATCAAAACCAAAACACAAACAAACTTTGCGTTCATTATTAATACAGTTTTGTTACCACTTTTCAAGTTCTGTAATAAACAATATATTAATATTATTTAAATGATTATTTAGTAATAATTTATTACTAATAAACTATTATTTCTTACGTGAAGTTGGTGTTAAATTAATGTTTAAGTGATGTAATAAAAATAATGCAAAATCCACGTCTTATATATACCCCGATTGTATCCTATTATTGCAAATCATATACTTTATTCAAACGGATTATTTTGTTTATATTTACAAATATCTTTTGTAATAGTTGTTATTAAAATTATGTTTTTATATTTCTTGTCAGATTTATGTACCTGTATGATATTAAATCAATAGCCAAAAGGATCTAAAGGATCTTTATATAATCTTGTGTTAATAAAAACTAATATTGATCAACTATAAATTTCTCTAATGTAATATTGAACCAATAAATTATAAATTAAAAAATATTACATTGGTAACTTGGTAATAATAATAAAAAAAATTAAAAAGACCTTTGTTAAATTTAAAATTATTTGAGTTTATTTTTATTGTTAGGAATTGCAATATATTTGGTTTACAAATAAAATATCTTTATAGTAAACGTCATCTAATATTTACATTAAGTTAGTAATTAAACAAAGTTACAATATTTATAGATAAATGTTTTGTTTATTACACTGACGTCTAAATAAGCAATTGTTTGACAGTAAATAACAATAAAAGCAATTGAAGAGATAAATCTTGTTTAATTAATGAAATAAATGAGTAAATAAAGAGAATCCTTATTAATAAGTGAATTTACGACTAATTTAACAATTAAAAACAACATGATCAAATATGTATTTATAAAATTTATACAAAAAGCTATCAGTTATCAAATTTAATAATTATCATTAATTATAACAACTTGTATAGTTTAAACTACCATTGAACCCATTTATAAAAATTAGTTTGCGCATAAATTATTAATAATAAACACAACTTTATATTTTAATATAACTATTAAATATTATATTAATATTAATTTATAAACATTTATAATATCTATTTAATGCTTATTAATGAAAACACACATAAGAAATATTATATAAATTGTATGGTATAAAAAGGAAATGGTAAACATATTTAACTAAACATGGTACATTTGCATTTATGATATAATAATGGTTGAGTGCAGCTAGGGCAGTATGACCGTCAAAATAATACATGTCTAAACAATGAATATATGACAGCAAAAGTGTTTGATAAAATACCACTGATAATAGTGTTACGTCTCGGTAACCTTCAAAACTTTATTTACTATAAATATAAAGAATTTCCCATTCATTCAGTCAATTATTATTTAAATACAAATAAAAAGTATAATATTTTAAGTTAAATTTAATTTGAACTTCTATTGTGAATATAATGTCAATCCTAACGAGTCTATTGCATATGATTTCGGTAGACATTTGCACAGCCATTATATCCATAATAATTGGATATATTGTGTATAAATTAGCAAAATTTTATACCCGTGTGTATCAACTGCCGCCCGGACCCATACCGGTGCCACTATTGGGAAGCATATTACGTAAATAATAATAAAAGTAAAACTATGATTATGACTAATTTATACTTTGTCTAAATAGATCTAAAGGGTACAAAAGGCCACTGGTCTGACGAGCTAACAAAGTATACTCAAAAATATGGTGATATATTGACCTTCTGGGTGTCGGGCGATCCGGTTATTGTCATCAATGATATTGATTTGGGTAAAGAGCTGTTCCGCAAGAACGATGCCGCCGGACGTTATAATATCTATCTATGTGTGAGATAAAAGTGGTGGTAATTATTATCAAAACCTAATCATGGTAATTATTATGATTATAGTTGAGTTAGTAAACAATGGGAAGCGATCGGATATAGTCGGCGCCGATTACGGCCATACATGGGAAGCGCTCAGACGTGTCGGTCATTCAGCCGTTCAGTCAGTATTTTATTTTGTTTTTACATTTGGTTCGCATTCTAAGTAAGTAATGATTTTAATCGTGATATGTATTTGATAAGGAAATATTCAACGAGTGATAAACTAGTATTACTTGTGAGGGATTGTGTGGAGCGGACGGTAGAGATGATGGTCAACAATGAGGGACTTAATCAGCCATTCGTTGCGACCGATTATATCTATCAACTCTTTTTCAATATCCTGTCCACCAGTGCTTTCGGCAAAAGGTTTGCAATTTATTTCTATAAATTAATTCAATTTAATTTTAAATTGTTTTAAAAATGCAATTTAGTTACGACACAAATAACAAGGAATACAAGCAAATCAAATACGTTATGAAGGATTTTATGCGTGAAAATAGCACTAAATTCCTATTACTACAAGTGCTTCCAGTGGCCCGATATGTGTTTAAGGGTATGGCAGACAAACAGAAACGCATTATGAATGATATGTTAGATATGTTGAAGAATAAGTTTGTCAAACACTACGAGGACTTTG